ACTGAGCATGTGCAAAATGCCTACTGTTCAGTCTGTCTTATCAGGCGATAAGAGGATTAACCCCTTAGGTTCCACAGTGAGTACAACAAACATGCTTTATTGCATACACAGACTGATTTTACTGTTGCGGGTTTAGTAACATTTTAAGACTTTAAGGAAACATGAATTTTCCGGGATTTTTTTTGCCTTCCTCTGGATCAACTGTGGGGATAGGATTATAACTTTTTTTTTTCTATGGTTGAACCGGATGGACTTTTGCTTTTTTCAGCCAGACTAACTATGTAACTATGAAGAATATACAGGAAATATGTGCCTGTGTCGAAAAAAAAAAAAAAAAAAAGCCAATGTAACTGTTGGAACTGCAATCAAAATATAAAAATATAAAAAATCATTTCCAGGATATCCTCTTGGCAATTTTGTTTCTCTGCTTGTGATATTAGTAATGGTAATTTTATCTCTTTTTTTTAATGTTAGGTTTTAAGCTCCTGAGGAATTGCGAGAACATTTTTCCTAGCTCAGTTGCTCAGGAATGAAATAATAAACCACATCACTACAATGAGAACGCACACAGTATAGATACACTCCAAGCGGGGGGAGCAAAAAAATAATAAATTGGAGCGCGTTTCGTAAATACCACAAATATTATCTTTATTTTCTCTAAAGTACCTCGGGGAAATTGGAGGGATACAATGAAAAAAAGCCCACAGACCAAGAAAAAATCTCCCGGTGCCAGGAAAAGCTTTGTGTCGGCTGCCTTCCGCGCGTTTATGAATGGGATATCCCCGAGTTCACCTGTGGAAATGGCACGTTTATTAATTGCCTGGTTTCCCTTAGCTTGTGTGGTAATATGACTAATAAAATCGTGACTGTCTGCAGCCAACGAGTCCTCCCATTCACTGCAATTGCCAGTCGATACCAGAGTATGTTTAACCTTCCATTAACCTTGCATTGAAAAATCTAGAAGCCAATACTTTCGGCGTTATGAAGATGGGTTTAGTATGAACGAGACAGGCCTGTGCGGTTTAATAGCTTCCGTAGGGAGTTGTAAATTAAATGTCTCTCCTCGGAAATTTCATGGCTGTCTCGCACATTCGTTTTCGTAAGTACGTCGAAGGCACCTCGCAAAAGGTAAATCGATGTGGTCCGCTTTGTCGCAGCACCTTCTGTGCGGCCATGTGTGTTTTTGTGCCTATTAAGTCCGGCTATTTCAAGAGCCACCTTGCCAGAGCTTTAAAGAACGACTGTACCCCAAGACATGTTGGCTATATAGCTTTAAAGAATGACTGTACCCCAAGACATGTTGGCTATATAATTTTAAAGAATGACTGTACCCCAAGATACGTTGAATATATAGCTTTAAAGAACGACTGTCCCGCAAGACACGTTGGATATATAGCTTTAAAGAATGACTGTACCCCAAGACACGTTTGATATATAGCTTTAAAGAACGACTGTACCCCAAGACACATTGGATATATAGCTTTAAAGAACGACTGTACCCCAAGACACTTTGGATATATAGCTATAAAGAACGACTGTACCCCAAGACACGTTGGATATAGCTTTAAAGAACGACTGTACCCCAAGACATGTTGGCTATACAGCATTAAAGAACGACTGTACCCCAAGACACGTTGGATATATAGCTTTAAAGAACGACTGTACCCCAAGACACGTTGGATATATAGTTTTAAAGAATGACTGTACCCCAAGACACGTTGGCTATATAGCTTTAAAGAACGGCTGTACCCCAAGACACGTTGGATATATAGCTTTAAAGAACGAATGTACCCAAGACACGTTGGGATATATAGCTTTAAAGAACGACTGTACCCCAAGACACGTTGGATATATAGCTTTAAAGAACGACTGTACCCCAAGACACGTTGGATATATAGCTTTAAAGAACCCCAAGACACGTTGGATATATAGCTTTAAAGAACGACTGTAGCCCCAAGACACTGTTGGATATATAGCTTTATTGAACAACTGTACCCCAAGAGACGTTGGCTATATAGCTTTAAAGAACGACTGTACCCCAAGATACGTTGGCTATATAGCTTTATAGAATGACTGTACCCCAAGACACGTTGGCTATATAGCTTTAAAGAACGACTGTACCCCAAGACACGTTGGCTATATAGCTTTATAGAATGACTGTACCCCAAGACACGTTGGCTATATAGCTTTAAAGAACGACTGTACCCCAAGACATGTTGGCTATATAGGTAAAAGAGGCAGCTGCCTAGAGACACAAAGAAACACAAACAGAGGCCTAGTGCATTATCGTTAAAAAATATTTATTGGAAGGATAAAAAGTAAGTATCGTACTCACAATTGACAAAGAGGTCAAAGGCACATCACACTAAACAGCGCTATCCAATCCACACTGCATATAAGTCCATAAATGGAACCCTGGACTTCCAACAGGCTAACGCGTTTTGAGGACTCTGAGCTCTGAAGAAGCCTGGAGTTAAAAGTAAATAAATGTTGTTTTATCATTGCCATTATACATTTCTAATAGGGCCTTTATTTTAGTTTGGGCAATGGAGGAGGAGAAGGTCTACTTTAATGCCAGCTATGCATGGAAGGGAGCAGTCTACCCACTACCCCCCCCCCCCCCCCAACAAAACACAACATCATTATATAGAAAATTTGAGGATTCAGCCTCTTCCTCAGAGCCAACCTTGCCTTTGACCTGTATGTCAATTGTGAGTATGATACTTACTTTTTATCCTTCCAATAAATATTTTTTATGATAATGCACTAGGCCAGTGCACCCTCTGTTTGTTTCTCTTTGTATCCAGTGACATTGGACTACCCCGGTCCGCTGAGGGCAGCAAGGAGTGCATTGTCCAAGACATCTGAGATGTAACCATAGCCCTAGCTGAGTTTCTCCCCAAGCGCAGGAGTACAGAGTTTGCTGTGTTTTCGCTGCCTAGAGACCACCGGTCATGGGGAGAGGGGGGTCACCACATCCAAGGCTGATTGTAGCCCTGGATGAGCTGCCATTAGCCAAGAGGCACCTGGTTTAGTAGGTCATAATAAGTGTTTGAGGCTGTAGGCAGCTGCAGCTAGCTAGTCTAGGTGGCTCTTTGCTGGAATAGTGTCTGGTTACAGCAGACAGTGTCATCAGGTGCTAGGCCCCTTATAGTTATATTTATACTTTTAGAGCCCTCCTGCAGCAATATCATGGGTGGATGAGTGCCCAGTTAGAAGCTAGGTTGGGAGGAGCCCTAGTGCAGCTGATGCATGGGAGCTAAACGCCCCACATCAACACGGATGTAACCAGCACATGAAGGCCATGGATAGGTCAGGAGGCCGGGGAGAAGCAGACCTGCACTCACGACAGCCAACTGTAGACTTTCTAACCCTTACGGAGATGGGTGCTAAGGCGGATTGCAAAAGGCCTCTTGAGCCAGGCCAAATGTTCCCTGAGTGAGCTTATTCCCCAGGAGGGTCCCAGGACAGCTGTACCTGTAAAGCAGGAGGCTTTAGAGATCTCAGTCCAGTACTAATGACCATACTAATAACCCGGGTGAAAGGAGAGACTGTTAAAAAGGGATGGCTGCTTAAAGTGCTGCATACGCTTTCACAGGTGACTACTGCGGACTGTCCACTAAATGTGATTGACTGTATTGTCAAGTGCCTCCGGATTGTCGATGTGTGAAAAAAAATGATAAAAATTTCCTATGGGTACAGTGTTGCATGACCGAGCAATTGTCATTTAAAGTGCGACAGCGCTGAAAGCTGAAAATTGGCCTGGGCAGGAAGGGGGTATAAGTGCCCGGTAATGAAGTGGTTTAGAAAAGTGTTTACTTTAAAAAAAAATGGCTCCCCCATATGTGACATAAATGGATGCCTTTCTCAACCATGACACTAAAAATAAGAAAAAAGAGAAAGGTATACATGCTGGGACATGTAGTTCAACAGATCCTGTATCTTTTTGGCAATTTTGTTTTACATTCTTTTTAGGTTTGTAAGTTTTTCTATTTTTATTTTATTTTACTATATATGTAAACATTTGTATTGATACTAGCATTTAAAACACTGTGAGTCCATGACATAGGATTCCCAGAGCACTTTGGGTTTTCCAAACAGAGTTGTTTCCTTTTGGTTTCTCTGTGTGTAATTAAAATTCTGGGTCTCAATAATCACTACCCACCAGGGGCGGACTGACCATTTGGAAACCTGGGCCCTGCCCGAGGGCCCGGGGTCACCATGAGATGCCCCTGGTACCTTTTTCATAGGTTTTTTTGAGTTTGGGCAAGGACACAGGGGCCCCATGATCCCCTATTGCCCGGGGGCCCCATGAGTTGTCAGTCTGCCCCTGCTACCCACTCTCTGTTATATTTTGCAGTATTACTGAGTACCTCATTCTGCATTTTGCTCCCCATTCATAAAACGCAGGATGGTGTATTGAGCCTGTGGTCTGCAGCACCTTGTGGAGTTCTCCCTCCTTAAAGCCTAAAGAGAGAAAGTCCTATTACTTTGACGGGTCATGTGACCACTGAGCTTTTTCTTCATATACTCATTTTATTAGCACTAAGTACATCACTGTGTTTTGTAAATGTGCAATATTCATTTTTTAAGATAAAACCACTGCTTTGTAAGTACCAAGCCCTCTGAAAATTGACAAAGAGAAGGAGGTCACCCATCTGTCTTGTTCACTTGTGTGTACATTTTGGATTGAGCTATTGAGCTCTCTGCAAACAACTGGTCCTTTCAAAAGAGGAACTAAAAAGATCCTAGATCACATGTAACAATGAACCATAAACTCCATCTGGATGGATAAAAAATAAAAAATATTATTATCCTATATTTTACTTTATTTATGAAAAAGTTGTTTTGTTTTCCTTGTTCAGATTATGGTGACAAAACAACTCAGTATTATACCATAAAAGTTTTCATTCAAAATGATTCAGCTCTGGCCTTGTGTGAAAAGGACGTTATATTAATATGTCGTTTCTCTATTACAGATTGCTGGTGCACCAGCAATGATGAAGTTGCTGTGGCTTCATCTGCTGATATGTATTTATGCCACTCTGGCGTTGTGTGCCGAGAAAAACCCATGGCAGGAGAGACATCACGTGACGCACCGCAACCGCGTAAAAAGGGGCTGGATATGGAAGGAGATGTCCACTCCTGAGCAGCAAACACGACTTCCCTACCGCATCGGAACGGTGAGATGTAAACAAAGTGAAATAGCTAAAGACTTTTTTCTTTTTTTCTACCTCTAATATGGTGGGTCTGAACCTAGTGAAGCGCTACCCCCGAAGGAGCCGCTGTAATTTATGCTGTTCTCTCCCAAGATTAGTGCAGAGGCAGCCAGGTACACAGTAACAGTTCACTCACTCTGGCTGAATAATCAGTCTACGGCAGGGGTGTCAAACTGGTGGTCCTCCAGCTGTTGCAAAACTACAAGCCCCATCATGCCTCTGCCTTTGGAAGTCATGCTTGTAACTGTCAATCTTGCAATGCCTCGTGGGACTTGTAGTTTGGCAACAGCTGGAGGGCCACAAGTTTGACACCCATGGGCAAGGCAGTGTTTCTCAACCTTTTTTCATTCGAGGAACCCTTTAAAATTATGGACAGTCCTGAGGCACCCTATAAAATTATTGACAGTCTTGAGGCACCCCATTTTAAAATGGGGTGCCTCAAGACTGTCCATCATTTTAAAACGGCACCCCATTCTAAAATGTTAAAAAATATAATAATAATTTAATATAATGCAGCAACATCCACACATGTAGGACACCCAACATTAGAGGTGATTTATTCTTCCAAAGCAAATACACTTTTGCACACTGGTACTGACTAGTATCCTAATGTTTCTCTTCTCCCTCAATTTTTTTCTCCATCACTGAGCTAATGTGACCCCAGCACTGATGGAGAAGGGGCAGAGGAGGGTCAAACTAGGATGCTGTGCAGACAACTAACATCCTCCTTATCAACTAATGATGTCATTGGTTGTCAGGACGCCAGCAGCTAGAAGGTCGTAATGGTGCACAATGAAAATCTATGGCTTTGTGTAACTAAAAGGCAGGCTTGTTCCTCCCGCTGGCTTGTATACAAGTTTTTGGCAATTTTTAGACATTTTGCCAAGGCACCCCTGAAGAAACCTCAAGGCACCCCAGGGTGCCTGGGCACCCTGGTTGAGAAAGGCTGGTCTAGGGGATGTCTTTTTAGGATTTTTTTGCTGAAGAACTTGGAAGGGGTGTAGGGTGATATGGGATTATCCAAATTTACTGAATTCACTTCACTTTGCGAATCCTCCCTACATTGTCTCTATGCAGAAACAAGTAACAATGGCAGAACTGAGTCCCATTTAAAAGCTATCACAGTCAGGACCACCACTGTAAAACAGCACACAGTCAATGGGTCCCTTAACTCAGGTCAGTACTCACAAGATCACATGATCAGTGGCTAAATGGTTAGCACTTCCACCGGGCAATAGTAACGTGGTTGTTTCAAATCCCAACCACAGCACCACCTGCCTGTAGTTTGCATGTTCTCCCTGTGCCTGCATGGGTTTCCCACGGGTACTCCAGTTTTCCTCCCGCTCTCCAAGGACATGCTGGTAGGTTAATTGGATCCTGTCTAAATTAACCCTAATATGTGTATGGATGAATGTAAGTCAGGGAACTTAGATTGTACACCCCTTGAGGGTTAGGGACTGATGTGAATATACAATGTATATGTAAAGTGCTGCATGGGCAAAATTGATGGTGCTATATAAGTACCTGTAATAAAATAAAACAAATAAATGATCACCAGATGCCTCCTTCTAGTAGGACAAGAACCCAGCTGCTCCAAGCCTCAGATTATTTATGTGCTGTTTAGCCACCTACTGGGCACACCTCCCCAGGGATTGGCTGAAGTTCCATAAATATTCAGACTGTGTATTTGACTTTTCAGCCCACTATGATGCTAGAAAAGTCTATAATCCAGGGGGGAAAGTATCAAACCTGCAGCATGTGAAGCAGGGAACAACCTAAATCAATCAATAACTGCTTCACTGATTACAGAGGATCCAAAAAGAACTACATGTACCTAACATCCTAGCAGCCTAACTAGAAGGGTGCTACACTAGGATACATAAGGGTACCTTCATATATCAGAGGGTGCAAAGATCAGCACTCCCCAGCTTTCGGCCAGAGATTCTGGCTAATCAATTTGGTCTGAACTGCAGGAAGTTCTCTCTGGATAAGCTGCCGATTGCCTGCTAATACCTCTCCTGTTTGTCCTCGCTACATGTTTCCCTGTATGTAACTCGACATGCAGAAAAACTATCCTCCTATTCTGTAAAAGGCCAGACTGAATGTAATCTTAAAGCATTATTAACAAAGCAGGGTGGAGTAAAACTATTAAGAAAAAAACAGATAAGAAGTACATATAATCAATAAGAACATACAGAAAACATAATGAATAGTTAGGCTATAGATGTCAGAAAGTCCAAGCCTACCAGCAATGCTGCCTTTAAGGGATGCAAAGAGCTGCAAGTTCCAGTGTGCTATGTGCTCTGATAGCTTGCTCCTTCTCTTGCAGTCTCTATGACGGAGTCTGAGTTCCCAAGATGCATCTCCTTCCTTTCTCTCAGAATTATGGGAATTTTTTAATTAACTCTTATCTAAACAGTCTCTAGTTTCTGTAAAACAGTAAATTTATTACCGGCTCCATCTAGTGGTCAAATTTGATACCACATGCAGTACAGATGTAATATATTCCCCTGCTGAAGGCAGAACAACTCTGGTAACCAAGAAGTCACAGAAAAATCTAACTGAAGGGAGCAGGGAGTGACCAAGGGGAAGGAGGTCTGAACAAGGCAGATGGAGGGGTTGGAAGGGATGTTGGCTGAAGCTGGAGAGGGACAGTAGGGTTGTAAATAAACAATGCAGGGGGTGAGTAGGGCAGAAACAGAAGTTAAGTAAGAAAAATAAAAAAAAAATACTGCTATATGTGGAAACATCCGCAAGAAATAAATAGTGATGACTTTAGTTGAGATCAGATTTGGGGATTGGGAGAACAAAGAACAGATGCCAGCATGAGAAAAATTATTTTAGAGAATGAGATGGAAAAGTGTGCTGCAATTAAACCCTTCAATTTCCACTGCAGCCTTTGCCCCCATTTTTTGACCTGGATTTTTCACTTTTTTTTTTTTTTTGCATGGAAAAAAAAATATAACTCAGTAAAACCATAAAGCTGCAATACTCACCTCTATTCTGATAAACTCCTCTTCACCAGTAGATGGATCTCCCCTTACAGGTTTAATGACAGTCAGCATCATCAAACCTGCTTCCTGTGTCCCTAGGCTGTCATGGACAACTACCTAGGGGTGCTTTATCAAGGCAACCTTGGCTCACATCATTACTAAAAACATTGCCCAGATATCATTACTAAACCCGTTCACATATCATCACTAAAAACTGCAAACACTGTACTGAAAAAATACAGAGGCTGCCTTTGCTTATGCCTGCACTAAAATAATATTTTCATGGCTGTCATGTTGATCCAAATACTTCAAACGTTAAGGTCTATGTAAAAAAATATGCTGTAAGAATGTGTCAATAATTCGCACAGGCGTAACAAATCTATACCATCATTTTCTTTCTATGTTGTTTGCCTAGGATCTTTAGCACCATCTAGTGTCAATAATGCAGTATTTTCTTCTGATTGAGGTATGTCAGGAAAAATATCACATTATTGCCCCTAGATGGCGCTTGTGATCCTAGAAAACAAACTAATTAATAAAAATGCGGTGAATATTTGTTGCACCTGTGTGAATGTACAACACATTCGAACTGCAGATTGTTTTTATACATAGACCCCTAAGAGTCCTAGACCCAGAACAAGTAAGCAAATCAGATTTATCCCTTTTGACTTTTTCATCAGTCAGTAGATTAGAAATTTTTTAAATACTCAGACCAGCCTGTCTGGCACTAACAACCATGCCATGTTCAAAGTCACTTAAATTCCCTTTCTTCCCTATTCTGATGCTCAGTTTGAACTTCAGCAAGTCATCTTCACCACATCTAGATGCCTAAATGCATTGAGTTGCTGCCATGTGGTTGGCTGATTAGCAATTTGTGTTACCAAGCAATTGGACAGGTGTACCTAATAAAGTGGCCGGTGAGTGTATGCTGTAATTCACCAATCAATGCAATTATGTATTTAATACAAATCAATAACTGTATTTATCAATACTGTAAATAGCTGAATGTGACTTGGCATCAACCTCTTGACTGATAGAGGGAGGAACAGTGCTAGAAGCCAATCAGGTGTGAAACAGTGCACATGTGCAAACAGGAGGAGAGAGCAGAGGAATATGCTCATCAGTGTACTGCTGTTCCTTCGTTGTCCAATCAAATGCTGGGGATGAAGAGGTGACCTATCTTTTTCACTTGGCAGCAGTAGAGTATATCAGGTCACCAACCTGGCTGTTCTCTCTGGCTGGGCTATTTAAAGATATTAGGACTCACTGGGCAGAAACAAAAATTCTTTAGCAGGTAAAATAGTATCCACGTATTTACTTGTTTGCCTGGAGTTTTCCATTTTCTTCTGCTACATGAAAAATAATTCCTTACCTAGCATTCATAGCAAAATCATTTTTCAAATATTTTATTGTTTTACAGCTGAGATCCGATAAGCCAAATGGCAAGTATGTCCTTCAGGGAGAATTTGCCAACACCTACTTTAAGGTTCATGAGGTCTCAGGGGACGTCTATGGCTGGGCAACACTGGATCGCGAGAAGAAGGCAACATATAATCTAACAGCTCTGCTCGTAGACAAAAATACCATGAAAACCCTGGAGCCTCCGGAGGTGTTTGTTATAAGAGTGATCGATATTAATGACAATGCTCCCGTTTTCAAGCAAGAGTCATACAATGCATCAGTCCCAGAAATGTCCAAACATGGTATGTATTAACCAAGAAGGTTTAACCACTTCCTGTCCGGACACTTTTACCCCCTTCCTGTCCAGGGCAATTTTCAGCTTTCAGCGCTATCACACTTTGAATGACAATTGCGCGGTCATGCAACACTGTACCCATATGAATTTTTTTTAAAATTTTTGAGACAGATAAAGCTTTATTTTGGTGGTATTTATTCACCGCTGGGATTTTAATTTTTTTTCGCTATGTAAATGAAAATGTCCAAAAATTTAGAAAAAAAGTTTTTCTTTAACATCTCCGCTAGATGGCAAATAAATAATCTTTCATCACAAATCTTGGCCGAAATGTATTCCGTTATTTTTTTAGTAAAAAAAAAAGTTTATAACCAAAAATTATAATTTTTAAACATTTTTTTTACATTTTTATTTTATTTTTTTATATTATTATTTATGGGGTTTTTTAAATACTGTCACCCTAGCAGCACAGTGTCATCATGGTTTTTTTTTTTACAGTGATTGCTTTTATACCCATATAGGATGTAAAAGCAATCATTTCTCTTTCTCTCTGTCTGCATTCTTGCAGCCATTGAGAACTACTGAGTGAGCTGTGATTGGTCACAGCTTGTCACATGGTACAAGGCTGTTGTGAATAGCCTTGTACCATGTGACCTCTGTGATCATTCACAGATTTCACACGTAGTAAGCAATGATGTCACAAGTGACATCTTGCTTACTACTTTGCATGTGATCACTGATTGGCCAATCAGTGATCACATGATCGGGACCTCATACAGAGGTCCCGTCCGACGATCAGTGTTTCACTGTTTCCAGAGGACACAGCGGGCACCGGATCGCGGTGCTGCGCGTTGCCAGGGAACGCGTATAGCTATAACGGCAACCTGCCCCTGGAGTGCCACCGTCCTGCCATTTATAAACAGCAGGCAGACGGCAAGTGGTTAAGGGTCCAATCACACTTAAGCGCTCTGTTGCGGTGTGATAACACGTGTTGTGGCGTGTGTTAACATGCACTACATTAAAGTTGATGCATTTCGACGACTAGCCTCTTCCTCAGAGGATCTGAGGAAGAGGCTAGTCCTCAAAACGCGTCAGCCTTTTGGATGTCCATCATTCTCATTATAAGACAGAAACGCAGTGCGAATTGGACAGAGCGGTTCCTTCATGATGTGCCTTATATTTATTGACTATTGTGAGTAGAATAATATTTTTTTTTATATCTAATAAACATACTTTTAAGGTAAGGCACAAGGCGCCCTCTGTTTGCATTTCTCTATTCATTACTTTTGGACTCCCCAGTTCTTTGAGGGCGGCAAGGCATGCGTATTCCAAGAGTTTCATTGTGTGGACCCTATGATATAGAGTCCATCCCCAAGCGCAGGAGTATCTGGGTTTTTCCACTTCCACACTAGGTGAAGAAACATAAATGACCCTTTTTTAACCACTTGCCCTCCTGAGGATTTACCCCCTTTCCTAACCAGGTCATTATTTGCAATACGGCACTATGTTACTTTAACTGACAATTGCGCGGTCATGCAATGCTGCACCCAAATGAAATTTATTCCTTTTTTCCCACAATTGGAGCCTTCTTTCGTTGGTATTTGATTGCCTGTGTGTTTTTATTTTTTTGCGCTATAAACAAAAAAAGACTGACAATTGTGAGAAAAAAAACTGTATTTTTTACTCTTTTGCTTTAAAACATATCCAGTAAAAAAATTTTACAAATCAAATTTCGTCATAAATTTTGGCCAAAATGTATTCTGCTACATAAAAATATATATAATAATGTCCAAAAAAACATAAAAAATATATATATAAAAATAAGGTCGTGATCTTCACATAATTTCATGCAAGTGATGCCGCAAAAAACAGGGATCTCCACTCTGGTGAAAAGACTTCTCAGAAATGGCCAAAATGGCCCCTCACCTCCAAAACATGACCACCAAGGGCCAGCACGCTTTTAAGGATCACCTCCTGATCCTAAGGATCCTCCTGGTCACAGGAGATAAGCGCCACACAAGCTCCTTTGTATACCACCACTCAGGTTCCTCCTGGCACAGGTACCGCAATATAGCTCACCCCCAATCAGGATCCTGTGTTCTCGGCTCGCTGTGCTGGGATCGTAGCCGCCTGGGTAGCCGGGGACGTTGTACAGATCACAGCAGCACACAGCTCCAGGGACCCAGATCAGAAGAGGGCCGATGGAACAATATAGATAGGATATATTAAAGTTCGTCCAAAACCGATTGTGTGGCTCTAACACAAAGCTTGGGAAGATCGATACAAACTGTAGTGAAGAACAAAAACAAAGCGCACCAACCTTGCGCATTACCTCATTAAGCAATTGGTAAATTTACTGATTTAAGAAATATACTCACAAAAGTAGCAATATAAAAGGCATCTAGAATCGAAAATCGAAGCACTGGATTAGGATACAGGTGCGAGTCCCATCGAGAAGGGAGACTCTCAGGGTAAACTGACACGTTTCGAAGGGGGTCCATTCTTCCTCAGAGGGTGATGGGTGTGGTGAGAATGGAGGGGGGCAATTACTATGCTTCAGTTATGAATAAACACAGTGAATGACTGGTACCGATCACTCTTTGTGTTAATTCAGGAAAGGAAGGGGCTATAAATGTGACATATTTACCGGACCTTTTCCCCACTCTCCATCCTGAAGGATCCTATTGTTTGTTTGCAGCTGCTGGTGGGACGGAGAGGAGGGAAGCCAGCGGCACTGCGGGGGCACATGGGGGGGGGGCCTTGGCAGCAGGGGAAAACATATGGTTCACAGGGAGGGGGATGGGTGTGGTGGGAAGGGAGGGGGGTAATTACTGGAACCGATCCCCTGTATGGTTTCTCTCTGCAGCAGCTGAAAGCCAGCAGGAGGGAGAGCAGAAGGAGCCAGCTTTCAGCTGCTGCAGAGAGAGCCACACACGGGGATCGGTTCCAGTAACTGCCCCCCTAGCTCCAACCTTGTGTAGGTCTACAGTCTTGTCCCTGACATTCTTGGACAGCTCTTTGGTCTTTGCCATTGTGGAGAGTTTGGAATCTGATTGATTGCTCCTGTGGACAGGTGTCTTTTATACAGGTAACAATATGAGATTAGAAGCACTCCCTTTAAGAGACTGCTTCTAATCTCAGCTTGTTACCTGTATGAAAGACACCTGGTAACCAGAAATCCTCCTGAATAATAGAGGATCAAATACTTATTTCCCTCATGAACATGCAAATCAGTGCATAATTTGTTAGACATGCATTTCTTTTGAATTTGTTGTTGCTATTCTGTCTCTCAGTGTCACAATACACCTACCATTCGATTTTTAGACTGATCATCTCCTTGTGAGTGGGCAATCATTCAAAATCAGCCGGGGAGCAAATACTTATTTCCTTCACTGTATATATAGATAAGCTGCCAGCATAGACACCTTTGCTAAGTCTGATATTACTTGTTTTAGGTACCCTTGTGACAGTGGTCACTGCAGAGGATGCTGATGACCCCACCATGTCTGGAAATGCCATTGTGAAATACACAATAATTCAAGGGCAAGACAAATTCTCAATTAATGAAGATAGCGGTGAGTAGACACATAACTGTGATTGTAAGATTATGTGCATACTACATAGATAGAGTAAAACAGAAAGAATACAGGCGTCTTCTGAAATTTGAAGTTTGAAAAGAATAGATTAGAATAAAATAGAAAAGAAAAGAATAGATGTGTCCGAATATCCAAATTACAGTAGTAACGAATTTAAACGACTCCGAAATAACAAAACTAAATTTCATCAGCAATAGCAAATTTATCCTAATTTAAAAGGAATTTGAAAAGAATAGAATAAAACAGAATAGAAGAGAAAATAAAAGAATAGAATATAAAGGAATAGAAAAGAATAGAAAAAATAGAATAGAATAGAAAGAATATAGCTGTCTTCCAAAATTCAAATTTTTAATAGAATACAATAAAATAGAAAGATTATAGCCATCTTCTGAAATTTAAATTTTGGAAAGAATAGATTAATATTTCGAAAAGAATAGAATAGAATAAAACAGAATAGAAGAGAAAATAAAAGAATAGAATATAAAGGAATAGAAAAGAATAGAAAAAATTGAATAGAATAGAAAGAATATAGCTGTCTTCCAAAATTAAAATTTTCAAAAGAATACAATAAAATAGAAAGATTATAGCCATCTTTCGAAATTCAAAATTCAAATTTCGAGTATAAGAGAGTAAAATAGGAGTATAGCCATCTTCTGAAATTTAAATTTTGGAAAGAATAGATTAGAATAAAATAGAATAGTAAAGAATAGATGTTTCCGAATTTCCGAATTACAGTAGTAACGAATTTAAACGACTCTGAAATAACAAAACAAAATTTCATCAGCAATAGCAAATTTATCCTAATTTAAAAGGAATTTGAAAACAAAATAGAATTCGAAAACAAATATGAACTGTAAGCATACTGCTTACTATTGCTGATTTTCTTCAAAGACTGTGAGCGTGTATTAATGTTAAAATAAAGCCATCTTCCTGAAATTAATATTTCGAAAAGAATAGAATAGAACAGAATAGAAGAGAAAATAAAAGAACAGAATATAAAGGAATAGAAAAGAATAGAAAAAATAGAATAGAATAGAAAGAATATAGCTGTCTTCCAAAATTAACATTTTCATAAGAATACAATAAAATAGAGTATAGCCATCTTTTGAAATTCGAAATTCAAAATTAAAATTTCAAATATAAATAGAGTAAAATAGAATATAGCTATCTTCTGAAATTTACATTTTGAAAACTATAGATTAGAATAAAATAGAATAGAAAAAGAAAAAAAAAGAGAATAGAATAGAAAAGAGTAGAGAATAAAAGAATAGAATAGAAAATAAAGGACTAGAATAAAAAGAACAGAATAGAATATAAAAGAATAGAATAAAAAAAATAGAATAGAATAGAATAAAATAGAAAGACTATAGCCATCCTCTGAAATTTGAATTTTGAAAAGAATAGATTAGAATAAAAAAGAATAGAATAGAAAAGAATAGAAAATAAAGGAATATAATAGAAAGAATAGGAAAAAAATAGAGTAGAATAGAAAAGAAAGAATATAGACATCTCCAGAAATTTTAATTTTGAATAGAATAGAACCAGCTATTTTTCACAATGAATTGGATTGATTCGATATTTCCATTGGAAAAAATTCAAATCAAATATGAATAAACAAAACTAAACGAATTTTGTTACGAATGCAACAAAACAAAATTAGTAACTTAACAAAGTGATCCGAAAGGAAACAAATTTTTTCGTTCTGCACATGTCTCTTCCCTCTACAGCAGTGGTTCTCAACCTGTGGGTCGTGACCCCTTTGGGGGTCGAACGACCCTTTCACAGGGGTCCCCTAAGACCATCGGAAAACACATAATTCTGATGTGTAAAGAGCAGCTGCTGTGTAGAAAGCAGCTACTGTGTTGAAAGCAGCTACTGTGTTGGAAGCAGCTACTGTGTTGAAAGCAGCTACTGTGTTGGAAGCAGCTACTGTGTTGGAAGCAGCAGTATTGGAGGTAAAACGACACTTCATGAATTATAATTGCTGGGTAAATAATTTTATGGTTGGGGGTCACCACAACATGAGGAACTGTATTAAAGGGTCACGGCATTAGGAAGGTTGAGAACCACTGATCTACAGCGTTCTCCAGCTTCCACCAGAATCCCACTATTATGGTACATACATACTTACATTGGTCCAAGCTGGGCTAATGCAACTGTAAAAATTTCCAGCATGGACAAAAGCTGCTTGTGAAGGTCACAACCTGTGACACCATTCTCATAGGAGGATGCAGGTAACCTCACACTGCATTTTTCCCCATCTTTAGGGCACATTTATACAAGCGTCTCGAATCTGGACAGAGAGGAGCAAGCTACCTATGAAATCATAGTGCAGGCCAGAGACAGTCCTGGCCAAGTCGGAGGTTTATGGAGTACAGCCACAGTGACCATTCATTTGAACGACATCAATGACAACTTCCCAACGTTCACACACGGTATGCATATTTTTTATATATAGAAGTGCTGCTACAATACCATGGTTTATGATAATAAATAAGTCACACATACATCTACAGACAATACTGCAAGCTGGGGCTTCTGTAGGCACATACACTTTATTGCTAAAAGTATTGGTCGGCCGGCCTTTACACGCACATGAACTTTAATGGCATCCCAGTCTTAGTCCATAGGGTTCAATATTGAGTTGGCCCTCCTTTGCAGCTATAACAGCTTCAACTCTTCTGGGAAGGCTGTCCACAAGGTTTAGGAGGGTGTCTATGGGAAGGTTTGACCATTCTTCCAGAAGCACATTTGTGAGGTCAGGCACTGAGGTCAGGGGAGGAGGCCTGGCTCACAGTCTCCGCTCTAATTCATCCCAAAGGTGTTCTATCGGGTTGAGGTCAGGATTCTGTGCAGGCCAGTCAAGTTCCTCCACCCCAAAACTCGCTCCTCCATGTCTTTATGGACCTTGCTTTGTGCACTGGTGCGCAGTCATGTTGGAACAGGAAGGGGCCATCCCCAATCTCTTCCCACAAAGTTGGGAGCATGAAATTGTCCAAAATGTCTTGATATGCTGATGCCTTAAGAGGTCCCTTCACTGGAACTAAGGGGTCAAGCCCAACCCCAGAAAAACAACCCCACACCATAATCCCCCTCCAACAAACTTTACACTTGGTACAATGCAGTCAGACAAGTACCATTCTCCTGGCAATTGCCAAACCCAGACACGTCCATCGGATTGCCAGACAGAGAAGTGTGATTGGTCACTCCAGAGAACACGTCTCCACTGCTCTAGCCACGGCATCCGACGGTTTGGATTGCACTTGGTGAAGTAAGGCTTGGTTGCAGCTGCTCGGCCATGGAAACCCATTTCATGAAGCTCTCTACGCACTGTTCTTGTGCTAATCTGACTCTGCAGGCAGTTGGCAACTTCTGCACACTGTGCACTTCAGCATGCGCTGACCCCGCTCTGTCATTTTACGTGGCCTACCACTTGGTGGCTGATTTGCTGTTGTTCCCAGTTGCTTCCACTTTGTTATAATCCCACTAACAGTTGAGTGTGGAATATTTAGTAGCCAGGAAATGTCATGGATGGACTTATTGCACAGGTGGCAACCTATCACGGGACCACGCTTGGAGTCACTGAGCTCCTGAGAGCGACCCATTCTTTCACAAATGTTTGTAGAAGCAGTCTGCATGCCTAGGTGCTTGATTTTATACATCTGTGGCCATGGCGGTGATTGGAACACCTGAATCACATGATTTGGATGGTTGGCCCAATACTTTTGGCAATATAGTGTATATGACAAGCTGCAGAGAGATGATATCATCATTCATGAGTCTGAACACATGGGCAGGTTAACCCCTGTAGGTCAGGAGTCAATGCAGTGGAAGAGCTACCAAAGACCACAGAGGATTGATGGATGACTACCACATCCACTTTGTAAAACTCTTGTTCCTATAGAGGAATCCCATAGCAGTAGTGATCAGGGGCGGACTGCCAACTCATGGGGCCCCCGGGCAATAGGGATCATGGGGCCCCTGTGTCCTTGCCCAAACTCAAAAAAGCCTATCTCATGGGCCTCCCTACTGACCCCGGGCCCTCGGGCAGTGCCCAAGTTTCCAAATTGTCAGTCCGCCTCTGATAGTGATTATAGAAGACATCCTCATAACCAGATATTCTATGAACGGCCTTCAGATCGAAAGCAAGAATGTTAATTAGCACACGTTGCTATGGTGACAATCTTGTATTTTATTCACAACAAACCAACAGGCACCACAAGCCAAGTGACTTGAGCTCCAGAAGATTTCACCCCCTTCCTGACCAGGTCATTTTTTGATATACTTCAATTGGTATTTGCATGGTCATGCAACGCTGTACCCAAACAAACATTTTCACACAAATAGAGCTTTCTTTTTTGTGGAATTTGATCACCACTGGGTTTTTTTTTTTTTTTTTTTGCGATATAAATGAAAAAAACACCAAGAAAAAAAAACAATATTTTGTACTTTCTGCTATAAAACATATCCAATAAAAAAAAATTAAAAATCAAATTTCTTCAACAATTTAGAAATTTAAAATGTATTCTGCTTCATGTCTGTGCTAAAAAAAAACAAAAAAACCCAATGAGCGTATATTGATTGGTTTGTGTGAAAGTTATAGCTCCTATAAACTATGGTATATATATACTGGAATTTTTTTTTATATACTACTAATAGCGGTGAACAGTGCCTTATAATGCAACAGCGGGAGCGCAGCAGGCAATCTGACACTAACTGCCACTGACATCACCAGTGACATTAATACAGTGATCAGTGATAATAATACTATATACTGTCACTGTACTAATGACACTGGCTGGGAAGGGGTTAATATCTAGGGCGATCAAGGGGTTAAATGTGTGCCTAACTGTATGTAATGTGTGTAAAGTGTGCTGCTTTTACTAAATGATCTGAACTGACTGATCGCTCCCTCTGTACAGAGCTCTGTGTTGTTTACGAACATAGAGCGCTGTGCAGTGATTGGACACAGCCGGTCAGCTGGTCCTGGCCATAAATCATTGGCCAGGACTTGCTGACACGCTCCCGCTGTGTACAATCACAGCAGGTACCGGCGGTGGAAGGGGATGGCACACGTGCCCGAAACCCGGAAATATCCATATGTTGCTTTGCCTACAGCAGCTGCCCGTCCGCAGTATATTGCGGGTGGTCGTAAAGTGGTTAAGAAAGGGACCCCATGAGATCCTGAAATATCTGTTTGCGATGTCTGTTGCTTTATGTAAATAAAGGACAAGGTTGTCACTATACCAATGTATGCCGGTAAATATTCTTATATTCCTATGATTGTATGGCGGGTCCATCCACCAGTTTCACTATAGCCCCCTGCATGAACTGCGGACAAGCCTGTAAGGTATGCTATCGATTCCATACAACTTTCTGGCCTTCAGATGGGTAACAGCTTGCCACGTTAAGTACATGTGTAATTGGGGCTTGTGAATGGCTAGAATTGGACGCCAAGAGCACAAGTCACTACCCCTCTTCCTCATCTGCTAGAACAGCGACCCTCCTGCTTGAAGCTTTAACCCTCCACCATTCTGAGCCTACTCCATGCTAGTGGCTTCCTCCCGATATTCCCAGCCGTTAATCTTTATATCCCCAAGGAAGGAATGTCCACACAAATATAGGGTTGCTGTACTTTATTAATGGAACTTGGAAGATAGCACAGACAGTTAGATCAGCATACTATCCGGGGTAACTTGACAGTCTATTGTCAATAACATTTAGTGGACGGTCCACAGTAGTCATAAGTAAAAGCATCATGCAGCACTTTTTGTAAGCCATCTTCCCTTAAACAGTCTCTCTCCAGCTCCTCATTGGTACTCACTGGAATGGGATCTCTGCAGTCACCTCCTCCATGAGTACATCTCTCATGGGACCCTTCAGAAAGCCTCACTGAAGGGAACTCTTGACCTGGCCTAAAAGGCCATTTTGCCATCCGTCCTAGCCCTCCATATGGGGCAAGAAGCCTGATCAATAAATGTAGCATCCTCTAATTGCTCACATGGAAATTAAAGTCCTTGCCATTCATATTTCTATATAAGTATACATGGCTTCAAGAAAGATAACATCCAATGTGGAATCACCAATTTTTTCTCCACAGATGTGTTTATTTTCAACGTTTCTGAAGATCGGAGAGTGGGGGATGTGATTGCAAAACTTTCAGTAATAGATATAGATGAACCTCAAAATAGGAACACAAAGTATAGTTTCTTGAAACAAATGTATGTATGAAGCGTGGTTTCAGATAAAACCCAACCAACAGACCAACGAAGGACTACTCATTCTAAAAAAGGTACGAAGATTCAAAAAATGAGCTTTAGCATTTACCATGCATTAAATAGTTAGTGGGTTTTCACTTTTCACACTGACATGTGGATTATGAAGTAGTTCAATTGTATCTGTATATAAAGCCTAATGAAAGTTCTTTAAAGTTGGCTTGAACTCGAAAAGTGGAGATTTGTTGTGTTATATGGAATATTTAGAATCGTTGATTGTGTCTAGGAATTACCTCTAAAATGTATCTTTTGCCTTGAATTCTTCCTGAAAATAGCAGTGCACTTCCTTTTACTTAGGCACTGTTGTACCCTATAGCTTTATATCTGCAGTATGAGATTATATAAGGAACTGTGCTTCTAAATGTTAATTTCCTGAGATATGGAGTGAGATTTGGTCATGTGCTACTGTGCTGCTAATTGTTCTTGCTGGAGAGGAAGCTGTAGCTAAGGATCTGCAGTGCAAGAGTCTCCCTGCTTCTGCTTTATTCCTCGTGTGGATCTGTGATTTTTTTCAATCTACCCTGCTGCTTCTTGATCACTACCCCACCAGCCATCACAGGAGGGCAACTCTGACATGAGTAGGTAAAGGCCTGCCTCAACCAAGATGGCTGCCTCCATAGAGAGACAGAGTAGAACAAGGCATCATACATCAATAATAGGTAAATTATCAGCTACAAAGAGCCTATGTGCTGGTGATTAGTCATTTGCCTTCTGCTTGCCCTTTTGGGCACATATTTCACAATTCAATTGGAACAAAGGAAAGTTCTACTAAATAAAAGGCATGACCAATGGACAACTGAATGTGCAGTTGGCAAGAATCTACCTATACTCACATCCAGGGGCGGACTGACAACTCATGGGGCCCCCGGGCAATAGGGGATAATGGGGCCCCTGTGTCCTTGCCCAAACTCAAAAAGCCTATGAAAAAGGTACCAGGGGTATCTCATGGGGCCCCCTACTGACCCCGGGCCCTCAGGCAGTGCCCGAGTTTCCAAATGGTCAGTCCGCCCCTGCTCACATCAATTAATGCATCTATCTGTTTTAAGTTTTGTAATCTTAGTAGGGTTGTGAGGCAACAAACCAAGAAGTCCTGCTCAGGTTTTTCTCTACAGTCACACTCTTGGTGGGTTCCAAAGTCTTTCCAGGCAGGTTGGATTGCCCTGGTCCTATATTGCTCTGAAAACCTTTGTAATTTAAGTAACAAAAGACACCTGTGGTTGAATTTCAGAGCAGATAATGTTTTTACCTCTCCCAGAATTTCTTATCTCATCCTTACAGAATTGCCTACAGATGATGTGCATGCTTATGTAAATGTTATATGGCATTCTTTCGTTTCAGCCTTTGAATTTTGAAAGTGAACATAAGACATTCAGAATGACAGTTGATGCTACAGACTATTCAATTGACATAGGAGCGGCACGACCAGACAAGCGCAAAAGCCTCACCGAAGTTACTGTCAATGTTTTGGATGTAGACGAGCCCCCTGAATTCACAAAACCATTCTACCTGTTTCAAGTTAAAGAGAACAATAAAAAGACATTTTTTCGTGGGCACTGTCACTGCAAAGGACCCTGACATAGCCAAAAGAAGTGTAAAGTAAGAACTTGTAAACTGATTTGTGACCTAAAAGGAGAAGTTTGGAGGTTAAAAAACAAACATACATACTCACCTCCATTGCCGTGATGCTGCAACTGTTTCCCACCGGCTCTAAGCCCAAGCACTTAGCAATCACATGACCACTGATCGATCAGTTCTTGGTCTTCCTGGATCAGAGAGTGGTGACTGTCAGTCATAGACTCTTTGTTTTGCAACTCCAGCACTCACTAGAGTGCCGGGCTGGAGAGAGTATGGGAGCAGCTGCCTCAGTGGAGTGCTGAGAGGCTGAGCCAGCTGCTGATCAGGCATCCAGGTGGATCCCGACAAAAAGGTCAGGATCCTTTCAGAGCCTGGAGCATCTCTGTAATTTCAGCCGACAGCTGGCTTTAGCACAATGAAGTGCACTCTTGTGACCCAGATGGCCAAAAAGGCTTTGGTCATAATTCTAATTTAATAGGACATGTAGAAGTATGTGATACTGAACCAATACAGGTTCACCCTGGAAGTCTATCATCTCTGGCATTCGTCAAGGGTGCTTTCGCATATAGCAGTATTTGTGGCCTGGTGTAAGCTCTTGTGGGCTCTTCAGCCCCACTCAGGGGTGGACTGACAACTCATGGGGCCCCCGGGCAATAGGGGATCATGGGGCCCCTGTGTCCTTGCCCAAACTCAAAAAAGCCTATGAAAAATGTACCAGGGGCATCTCATGGGCCCCCTAGTGACCCCGGGCCCTTGGGCAGTGCCCGAGTTTCCAAATGGTCAGTCCGCCCCTGGCCCCACTCATTGTTAAGAACACAGCAGAACTCACTGCAGCCATTGCTTCTAATAGAAGTGATCTTGATATTCCACAGAGAGGTCAAAATGGTGGCAGAATGCAAACTATTATGACATGGTGCCCTTCATGACTAATCTGGTACTGAAGTAATAGGAATCAGATGACCCTTTAAAATAAAACACCCCACCATGGCTCAGAGCCTCCCCAGTTTGCTTGCCATATGCATCAACACTTAACTAATATGTTTTTGAAGTCAAGCTCCCGCACCTATTTTCAGACCTTAATGGACTTAATGGACCCTTTCAGGGTCCATTCATACTAGATACATGGCACATTTTTTTCAACGCATGCCAACACAAGAACTGTAAAAAAAGAACCTGTTGAACAGTAACCACTGGTGCATTGCGCTGATATGCACTGGTTTGCAGTGGAAAAAAAATAGAGTAAGACCTACTTTTTTCAACAGGTCTGTGGCAATGAAAATTTGAGGTTATTCCAAAGGTTGGGCTTGGGCTTTAATATATAACTATACTGGGTTTTAGGTCTGGCTTTTTTTTATGTTTTTAAATTTTTTTACACTTTTGTTTTCCCTAATTATGTAAAAATTTGGTTTAAAAAATAAACATTAGGTAACACACATGACAAAGGATTCCCAGAGCACTATTTGTTTTCTAGAGAGAACATAATTTTCCCTCAAGCTCTGTCTAGCAAATCCATTGTCACAAGGACAGATTAGGAAAATCTCTCTAACTGAGCTCCAGATAGCATTAAACATCCAAGGTTCTAGTTCTTACCTAATGTGTGCAAAACTAAAAATACATTTTACCTAGATATACACTTTAGGTATATAACAGGGCCTACATGTCATGATTGCACCACTGTATATAGCTAACAAATGATTTAATTGTCAGTACAGAACCTTCTGAATGAAGACAGTTTGGGAACAAAGTTAGCTGTATTCAGGGAACATAACAGAACACACATTGGAAGAATACTGTATATAAAGTGCTAAGCACTAAAAGCTAACCTACTGTCATTCTTATTAATACCCATAGATACTCTCTCAAACCAGAGAGAGATGACATCATCATAAGAACAAGTGGAAGCATTTATATTAATAAGCCCTTTGACAGAGAAACAAGCGCCTGGCACAACATAACTGTGACTGCTGAGGAAATTGGTAAGTATGAACAAGACAGTGCACTATTAAAAGGTCAATGTACCAGAAATGTGAAATTCTGCGCAGGGGTGGACTGACAACTCATGGGGCCCCCGGGCAATAGGGGATCATGGGGCCCCTGTGTCCTTGCCCAAATTCAAAAAAGTCTATGAAAAAGGTACCAGGGGCATCTCATGGGGCCCTCTACAGATCGCGGGCCTCGGGCAGTGCCCGAGTTTCCAAATGGTCAGTCCGCCCCTGGTCCGCCCCTGACCTGCGTGAACCCGGGCAAATCTGCCAGAGAGACGTGTGATACGATTCGGCAAGTTTACGGCAATGCTGCATCGTTTGAGGTGTTTTGAGCGGCACACGCATTTCAAGAGCGGAAGAACATCACTGGAAAACGATGAGAGATCAGGAAGACCTTCAATGAGCTCAACCCCTGAAAATGCCCTCTTCCCAAAGATGAAGATCCAGCTCAAAGGTCGCCATTTTCACAACCTTGCGGAGACCCAGTTTCACGCATAATTTCACATTTGCTCTTTGTTCTAACTTGCTGCCCATGATGAAATAGCAGATGTGGTAACGCATGTTGTCAGAATACAGTTGAACAGCTCCTGATGTACACAAGATGATGTCTTTTGGTGCACTGACTTATGAAGGTTGGTGCTCCCTGTAATGTGCAGCCTTGTGCTGCCATCTGTTGGCGTGTTACAAAACTAGTTAGAAACTTTTTGATACCACCTTGTAAACAACAGATGACAAAAAACAACAGGCAGTCAAAGTGGAACACATCATTGTCTCAATGGTTGAAAAACAAAAAATAGAATACAACCAACATTGAAATTGTAAGCAGACCAAAAGGCGCCAATAGCAAACAAGAAAAAGGAAATAGAGAAAAGAGGAAAAATGGATCAAAGGTAACCATCTGGGTCCATGTGTAAGATGCACAACATAAATGATTCACAGGTGAGGAATCTGAAGGGAACAGAGGTGGAATGGCGGTGGACACCGGGACCAGCCAGTGCCACCACCCAAATAGCTAGCATGAAATTGCCAGGGACAACAACACTAAGGAGAGAGAGAAGGCGTAGAAAAGGAGGCCATAGATTTCAAAGCATCGGAGGAGAAATTAATCCTGATATACCATAGTGTAATAAATTTGCCGTCAGAGTCTGATTCCTGGACCAACATTTTTTTCATGATGTAATCTACTGTAGAAACCCAATGCGAAAGAGGAGGGATTGTAGGTTAGGATGACCTGCCGGGCAGCAGAGAGAAAATGATGCAATAAACTACGTTGAGATCTCACTGACCCTGGTAAGATGAATATCAGGGAAATTTCAGGGGAGGGAGTGAGGGACTCTTGATAGATCTAGTTGTAGGACACAGCATTCCAAAAAGGTCTGATTCATGGATAATCCCACCACATATGAAGGTAGGTTCCTCATGCTCCATCACATCTCCAGCAGGAAAGAGATACTCAGGGAAATGCCTAGTGTAAAGAGACGGGATCCTGGTACCATCTAGAGAGTAATTTGAAATTCTTTTCCTGAGCATAGCAGGAAATGGATGATTTATGGGTAAACAAGAATGATGTAAACCAGTCCTCAGGAGTGATCTCATGGCACAACTGATAATAATTAAATGACTGATTCCTCTGCCTGCCTTGCAAGGACATTGGTAAGTAGCACTTTATCGAGCATGTATCCCATTTGTCACCTGGGCTGGGGGATCTTGACAGTTAATTGTTCATCAGACAGAAGAATGCCCCTGATTCTTGAAGAACAAAATAACAGCATACAGGGGGATCTTATTACCCAGTAATTTGTAGACTTATGTATCTACTAAAGGGTAGTACAGAGTGTGTGCCCAGAATACATGGATCCATCTTTAAACTGACTGAGAGGCATTGGATCTTAAATCCTGAGGTTAGGACTTCCTGCTTAGGGACCCAGAATGTTATGAGAAGACTTGAATCTTTACATCATGCCACCTTAAATAACATATTCAATTTATTTCTGTTTATTACAGACTCTCCGACAAAAAAGGCTTCATCAGCCATGGTTTACATACAAGTTCTTGATTTGAATGATAATGCACCAGAGCTTACCTACCCATACACTCCCAGTGTGTGTGAGAATGTGGTCAACGAACATGTGAGTGAACCTGAGGTTGGGTTTGGTGATGCTGCTTAATGTACATTTACTATTTCTATATATTCCTGAGATCCCTCTGTGTATCTTCTCCAAGGGTTAACAGAAGTGATGGGTAACGTGCTAAATTCAAGGCTTTTTTAGTATTCATTGCAAGATTCACATGGATTCCAGTTATAGGTTGACATGCCCTTTATCAATAGAGTATGGCCTTCTTAAAACAGGTATTTTTATGTCAACACGGCCATCACAAATCTTCATTGTAAGAGTGGACACGAACCATTATTGTATGCCCCAGAGGCCATATTCTTGAACCTCTTGCTTTGCCTGTCATGAGTGAAGAATTATGTTCGCTTTAAAAAAAAAAAAAAAACATTTTATCAGGCGCCTTGTGACCTTATTCAAATCTGATGCACTTTCATCTCTCCAATACTAGGTGTAAGGTCCCATGCACACTGCATGTTTAGCTGGATGGAGTTACTAGAGTGGTACTAACTAGAGATGAGCGAATCGAACCTGGCGAAGTGGAATTCGTTTCGAATTTCAGGATAAATTCGATTCGCATCGAATCTGAATTTTAGCAAACTTCGGGTGCACGAATCGAATTTTTCCCGATCAGCCGGCAAAAGTGTCACTGCAGAGAGCTCCGCTATTTCTGACAGTTCTGACAGTTCATTTACAGCGGTTGAAACATTGTATCTATTTGTTTCCATTTAGGATACAGATGTTTTTATTCGGAAATAAATAGATACAATGTTTCAACCGCTGTAATGTGAAGGAACTGTCAGAGAACTGTCAGAAATAGCGGAGCTCTCTGCAGATACACTTTTTGCTGTACTGGAATACTTCTTCTTTTCATTCTTCTTCTTCTTTTTTCATTCTTCTTCTTCTTCTTTTCATTCTTCTTCTTCTTTTCATTCTTCTTCTTCTTCTTTTCATTCTTCTTTTCATTCTTCTTTTCATTCTTCTTTTCTTCTTTTCATTCTTCTTCTTCTTCTTTTCATTCTTCTTCTTCTTCTTTTCATTCTTCTTTTCATTCTTCTTCTTCTTTTCATTCTTCTTCTTCTTCTTTTCATTCTTCTTTTCATTCTTCTTCTTCTTTTCATTCTTCTTTTCATTCTTCTTCTTCTTCTTCTTTTCATTCTTCTTCTTCTTTTCATTCTTCTTTTCATTCTTCTTTTCATTCTTTTCATTCTTCTTTTCATTCTTCTTCTTCTTCTTCTTTTCTTCTTCTTCTTCTTTTCATTCTTCTTCTTCTTCTTTTCATTCTTCTTCTTCTTTTTTCTTCTTCTTTTCATTCTTCTTCTTCTTTTCTTTTCATTCTTCTTTTCTTCTTTTTCTTCTTCTTCTTCTTCTTTTCATTCTTCTTCTTTTCATTTCTTCTTTTCATTCTTCTTCTTCTTCTTTTCATTCTTCTTCTTCTTCTTTTCATTCTTCTTCTTCTTCTTTTTTCATTCTTCTTTTCATTCTTCTTCTTCTTCTTTTTTCATTCTTCTTCTTCTTCTTTTCATTTCTTCTTTTCATTCTTCTTCTTCTTCTTTTTCTTTTCTTCTTCTTTTCATTCTTCTTCTTCTTCTTCTTCTTCTTTTCATTCTTTCTTCTTCTTTTCATTCTTCTTCTTCTTCTTCTTCTTCTTTTCATTCTTCTTCTTCTTCTTCTTCTTCTTCTTTTCATTCTTCTTCTTCTTCTTTTCATTCTTCTTCTTCTTCTTTTCATTCTTCTTCTTCTTCTTCTTCTTCATTCTTCTTCTTGTCATTCTTCTTTTCATTCTTCTTCTTTTCATTCTTCTTCTTCTTCTTTTTTCATTCTTCTTCTTTTCTTTTTCTTCTTCTTCTTTTCATTCTTCTTCTTATTCTTTTCATTCTTCTTTTCATTCTTCTTCTTCTTCTTTTCATTCTTTCTTTTCATTCTTCTTCTTCTTTTCATTCTTCTTCTTCTTCTTTTCTTTTCATTCTTCTTTTCATTCTTCTTCTTCTTCTTTTTCATTCTTCTTTTCATTCTTCTCATTCTTCTTTTAATTCTTTCTTTTCATTCTTCTTCTTCTTTTCATTCTTCTTTTCATTTCTTCTTCTTCTTCTTCTTATTCTTCTTCTTTGTCGTGCCCCGTGACTGCCCAAATGAGTGAAGTGTGCGGTGATTCTAAGATCGACGGCACTCATCTGCATGTCATACTGACTGACAGTATTATTTCTCTTCCCCAGCAGACTCCAAGGGCATTTAAATTAAAGGTACAGTGTTCTGCACTAATATAAAGGCTCTCTGAAGCCTAGAAACCCTTTAAATAAGTTAAATTCGCGGCGAATAAATTTGCATCGAATCGAATTTTCTCCCGCAAATTCGGCGAATCGGCCGAATCGAATTTTTTGAATAATTCGCTCATCTCTAGTACTAACCTTTAGGGCAGTATGCGCCCAGAAATGAATGCTCAGGGAACACACATTTCTTGCGTTCCAAGCATCCGACCCTAGGTGAATACTGTTGGTTATGTGTTATAGAAGACACTGGTAGTGATAGCAGAATTCAGACTTTACTTGTGTGGCTTAAGTTACAAACATAGAGAGCACATTTCTCAGCAGACAGATTACTTCCTGAAGAGATGATAGAGAGAGAACAGGAAGAACCAGCAAGTATTACATATATACAACTAGTAACCTTTAGTGTACAGTGCCATCTACTGGTCAAGTGATATTAACACAGAATACTATATATAGTACATTATAGTACATGCTGTTGCATTCCCAACACCCCTTCTCAACGGCATGTGCATAATTTATATGACATTTAGTCTCTTTGGTAGAAAACAATGACGTTCCCTTGTTTTTGGATAATCTGGTTCCATTGGTGTTTTTGCTTCCTTTGCATCTTGCATGTGAAACTGTTCTAACATTTCTGTAATTTCCTGACTTTGGTTAAGAAGATAGCTTCCATCCTCTTCCCGCTCTATTTGAATTCCTAGGTAGTGAGTAATGTTCCCCAACTCTTTAATTTCAAAATTTTGTTTCAGTTTTTGAACTATTTGGTCATAGTCCCCCCTTCTTGTTCAAAACACGTCAAGATGTCATTGACGTATATTAGGATGTAAGTCCATTTGTTCTCTTGATTCTTTGAATACAGACATGGATCTGCTTTACTTTTTGAGAACCCTTCTTTTCTGAGTATTTCATTCACTTTTTCATTCCATGCTCTCGCTGCTTGCTTGAGCCCGTAGATGCTCTTTTTCAGTTTGCAAACAAGGTTATTTTCTTTCTCAAATCCTGGTGGCTGTTCCATGTACAGATCCCCCTTGATGTCTCCATACAAAAAGGCAGTTTTGACATCTAGATGCTTTACTTGCATTCCCTTTCCAGCAGCAATACTAAGGAGTGTTCCTATGGTAGAATGTTTCACAACTGGAGCAAATGTCTCATCGTAATCTTCTCCAAATTTCTGGGAGTATCCCTTGGCAACTAATCTTGCTTTGTATCTATAGATGTTTCCTTCTGTATCATATTTCACTTTAAAAGTCCATTTGCTTCCGATGGTTTTTGCGACCGGGAGGGAGTTCTGTTAGTGACCAAGTTTTATTTTCTTGAAGTGATTTTATTTCTTCTTCAGCTGCTTTTCTCCACTGATCGGCTTCCCTTCTCGGCAAAGTTTCTATGTCTTCCCAGGATGTAGGCTCCTGTGTTTGATGTGTTTTAGCAGCGTATGATAATCTGCGGGGTGGTATCCCTTTTGTCATTCGAGAGGATCTTCTGATTTCTTGTTGTTCAGTGGGTTCTATTGGCTCGTTGATTGTAAGTTCCACTTCTTCTTCTGGCTCTTGTCCTGCTTCGCATAAATCAGTGTCTCTTGCCGATTCAGTGTGTAAATCTCCACATTTTTCAAGAATTGTATTATCTGGTGCTTCACTTTCATCAAAATAAACACTGCGGCTTACTGTGACCTTGTTGGTCTTTGGACAAAGGATTCTATATCCCTTACTCTGCTCACTGTAGCCAACCAGAATGCCTTCTATGGCTTTGTTCTCCAACTTGGAGCGTTTCTGACTTGGAATGTGGGCATATGCTTTACAGCCAAATACTCTGATATGTCCTATGTTGGGTTTTGATCCATTCCACATTTCATATGGTGTACTCTCAATAGCTTTTGATGGGAGCCTGTTTTGTAGGTATGTTGCAGTCATTATTGCTTCTCCCCAGTATTTGTTAGGTAGGCAGAGTCCGAAATCATACATCTGGTCATTTCTACAAGAGTGCGATTCTTTCTTTCAGCTACACCGTTTTGCTCAGGAGTGTATGGTACAGTTGTTTGGTGTATAATACCTTGTTTCTTTAGGTATGATTCCATCTCTTTATTCATATATTCCCCTCCATTGTCAGTGCGTATTATTCCAGGTTTCCTTTGAAACTTGTTGCTTGTCATAGCTACAAAATCTTGAAGTTTTTCTAATGTCTCACTTTTGTGCTTCATTAGATACGTTATTGTGTATCTGGAATAATCGTCGATGAAAGTCAGTAAATATCTGTTCCCGCCAGGTGTGTGATGTTTTTCATTGGTCCGCACACATCACTGTGTATCAGTTCCATGGGTTTAATGGTTTTACTCTGACTGGTCTGTGGAAGAGAGGTTCGGGTGGCCTTTGCTTTGATGCAACACGTGCACTTGCTGAGTGTGTTGCAAGGCAATATTTTCATGTCTTCTGATAGACCTCTCTTTGCAAAGTCCTTTATAGCTTCTGGGTTTCGATGCCCCAGTCTTCTATGCCACAGGTGGATGCACTTGTCATGTGGGTTATGAGTTGCCGCATTAGCCTTTTCACTTTCAGTGATGAGTTTGTACAGATGTTCATTTAATCTTCCTCTTGCTAAAATTTGCTTTCCATTTTGAATTGTGCATTCATTACCTCTGAACTGGACATTGAGTCCATTGCTTGCAAGGGTTTTTAACTGTTAGGAGGCTTCCTTCTAGGCTTGGAACATATACAGTCATGGCCGAAATTGTTGGCACCCTTGATATTTTTCCTGAAAATCAAGTATTTCACACAAAAAAGGTATTGCATTAACACATGTTTTGCTATACACATGTTTATTCCCTTTGTATGTATTGGAACAAATATAAAACAGAGGCAGAAAAGCAAATATGACATAATGTCACACAAAACCCCAAAAATGGGCTGGACAAAAGTATTGGCACCCTTAACTTAATATTTGGTTGCACACCCTTTGGAAAACATAACTGAAATCAGTCGCTTCCTATAACCATCAATAAGCTTCTGACACCTCTCACCCGGAATTTTGGACCACTCTTCCTTTGCAAACAGCTCCAGGTCTCTCTTATTGGAAGGACACCTTTTCCCAACAGCAATTTTAAGATCTCTCCACAGGTGTGTTCAATGGGATTTAGATCTGGGCTCATTGCTGGCCACTTCAGAACTCTCCAGCGCTTCTTTGCCATCCATTTCTGAGTGCTTTTTGACGTATGTTTGGGGTCATTGTCCTGCTGGAAGACCCAGGATCTTGGACGCAAACCCAGCTTTCTGACACTGGGCCCTACAGTGCGACCCAAAATCCTTTGGTAATCCTCAGATTTCATGATGCCTTGCACACAGTCAAGGCACCCAGTGCCAGAGGCAGCAAAACAACCCCAAAACATCATTGAACCTCCACCATATTTTACCGTAGGTACTGTGTTTTTGTTCTTTGTAGGCCTCATTCCGTTTTCGGTAAACAGTAGAATGATGTGCTTTACCGAAAAGCTCTATCTTGGTCTCATCTGTCCACAAGACGTTTTCCCAGAAGGCTTTTGGCTTACTCAAGTACATTTTGGCAAACTGTAGTCTTGCTTTTTTATGTCTCTGTGTCAGCAGTGGGGTCCTCCTGGGTCTCCTGCCATAGCGTTTCATTTCATTTAAATGTCGACGGATAGTTCGCGCTGACACTGATGCTCCCTGAGCCTGCAGGACAGCTTGAATGTCTTTGGAACATGTTTGGGGCTGCTTATCCACCATCCGGACTATTCTGCGTTGCAATCTTTCATCAATTTTCCTCATCCGTCCCACGACCAGGGAGATTAGCTACAGTGCCATGGGTTGCAAACTTCTTGATAATGTTGCGCACTGTGGACAAAGGCAAATCTAGTTCTCTGGAGATGGACTTGTAACCTTGAGATTGTTGATATTTTTGCCACAATTTTGGTTCTCAGGTCCTCAGACAGTTCTCGTCTCCTCTTTCTGTTGTCCATGCTTAGTGTGGCACAGACAGACACACAATGCAAAGGTTAAGTGAACGTCTCTCCTTTTTATCTGCTTTCAGGTGTGATTTCTATATTGCCCCACACCTGTTACTTGCCCCAGGTGAGTTTTACAGGAGCATCACATGCTTGTAACATTCTTATTTATCCGCAGTTGTGAAAGGGTGCCAATACTTTTGTCCAGCCCATTTTTGGAGGTTTGTGTGACATTATGTCGAATTTGCTTTCTTTCCTCCCTTTTTTTGTTTTGTCCCAATACACACAAAGGGAATAAACATGTGTATAGCAAAACATGTGTTAATGCAATACGTTTCGTGAGAAATACATGATTTCCTGGAGAAAAATATCAAGGGTGTGCCAACAATTTCGGCCATGACTGAGTAGAACATTCTTTACAAGGATGCTCTGCTTGCCCCCTGATGGCGTTTTGCAGTTCAGAAATCCCTGACCTTTACCTTCCGCTGTAATACTTTTCCCATTTGCTAGGAAGACTTTATCTTTTGCACACTAAAATCAATTTCTGTGAAGAATGTCTCGTCGCTTGTCATGTGACTTGTTGCCCCTGAATCAATGTACCATCCATGTGAGGTACTATTCTGAGTCACTTTAAAGTACCACTCCATGATGCACTTTCATTTCTTTCATGACTGCTTTAGCTCTTTCTCTTGTGGGTAGCTCCCGCTTTTTCGCTGCTTTCAGCTTTCCAGATTGAACAGTTCTTTTTCAGGTGACCGGCCTTTTTGCAGCGAAAACATACCCTGGTTTCTTTGCTTTGTCTTATGCCTTCATGCACCTTCAGAGCTGCCTCTGGTCTCTCGTTCTCTTCACTATGCAAATTTTCCTTTCTTCTGCTGTATTCATCAATTAATTTTCCCTTAACATATTCTAGCGTCAGTTCAGTTTCCGGTCTAGTTTCTAGAGCATCTATAAGGGCACTGTATGATTCTGGAAGGCTGCACAGAAGTAGCGCCACAACATGGTTGCCTTTTATTTCTTCACCTATTGCACCCAGCTGGTCTACAATTTCTAGCATAGCATTTACATGTTCACCCATTTCCTGCCCTTTTTCCAGCCTCATCTTGTACAGTTTGCGTAGCAGATATAGTTTACTGTTTAGGTTTGCACGTTCATGCAGTCTTTGTAGTGCAGTCCACATACCTTTAGCTGTGCTTTCTTTCCTTATATGAAGGAGTTGATTGTCCTCCACTAACAGGCTTATGACTGCTTTTGCTTGCCTGTTTTTTCTGTCCCATTCTTCCGGGTTGTCATTGGGTCTGTGTGTATCTAGTACCTGCCACAAGTCATCTTTGGATAACAGCATTTCAAGCTTAAACTTCCATAGCTGGTAGTTGGTATTGTTGAGCTTTGCTATTGTAAACTTCATATCTGAAGCACTTGCCATCTTTCAGTGAATTGGATTGTAAATGCAGCACTTACTTGCTTGTAGTTTTCCTTTTTTCAGTGTCTGGAGCTGGGCCCATAACCTGTTGGTTATGTGTTATAGAAGACACTGGTAGTGATAGCAGAATTCAGACTTTACTTGTGTGGCTTAAGTTACAAACATACAGAGCACATTTCTCAGCAGACAGATTACTTCCTGAAGAGATGATAGAGAGAGAACAGGAAGAACCAGCAAGTATTACATATATACAACTAGTAACCTTTAGTGTACAGTGCCATCTACTGGTCAAGTGATATTAACACAGAATACTATATATAGTACATTATAGTACATGCTGTTGCATTCCCAACAAATACTGTCCTAAACATTTGTACCTCAAAGTGAACCATCCAGCCCTGTCCAGCCCTAGTCTCTTGTAGAGTTTGACCGGCTGCCGGGAGCAGGGCTAAATGGAGCACCTCTGCCCTCCGCCTGCAGCTAAAAGTCAGAGCCTCATGCACCAAGGCTAAACACCCAATGTGCATGGGGCTTTACTGTAACATGGAAATGATGAAGAATAGTTAGAAAAACTATATCATGCACTTGACTTCCACAAAGAAAAGCAAACCCTAAAAATATAACCCAAAACTTCAATGGTTTCATGCAACTTGCCAATGGAAGTGTCACAAATGATTATTCTATCCACCGTTATCCCATACCCTATTAAAGAGTCCAGATCATTCATAGCAATGACAATTTTTCCATAAGAAGATATGAGCGTTTAAGGCATTTTACCTGTAAAAGCGTCCCTTGTGTAGAAATTGAAAAAACCTGGGACTACTGCCATCTTGGGTGTGATGTTAGCAGTCCCAGAAGACTTAGCACTGTTACTTGAGCTTCTTCATTCCCATTATCTTTGTCCCTAGAAGCTACATAAATTATTTATGGAAAGAAAAGACAATACACAAGCAAGCATTTCAAATGCTCAAATTTTGTGCTTTTACCTGACATTTGTTTACATTGGTGACTTTTTTTTTTTTTTAAATACCTTGTTTCTTTTTTTGCTTTTTTATTAGTCACCCAAGTGAAGTACTTCTTTAACATTGTAACTATACTGGTTCTTATCTTAGGTCATATTAAATATCTCAGCCACAGACAAGGATGAACCCTTCCAAGGAATGAAGTTTACATTCTCTTCAGCAGGCCCAGAAAACAACTTTACAGTGCGGGATAATCACGGTAATCTACTCTTTTTACTACCTCAGCAATGACACGCAGGGAAATTTCAGAATGTGTTTTTCTAAACTGATGCTGAAATCTGTTTTCTGGCTTTGTGTTTTCTGTATCATTTAGTCAATATAATCTCAGTGGGGAGGCTGGGATGCTGCTGACTTCCGTCCCAGCGTGATACAGCAGGCATTTCTTGTTGTTACACATAACGCCATCCAAGAAAAAGTAAAGTTTAACTTTCAAAAGGCATAGCAACAGTCATGTGAGTGAACATATAGCTAAAATTATATCTCCACAGAAAATCAGTTCAATAAAAATAAATATTGCCAGTGTATCCTTTAGGGTGCAAGTGAATGAGAGGAAGGAAAATTAAATGATTCTTCCACCTTGGCCATTTAGGGCAAAGTCACAGGTAGGATTCAAGTTGGTGAGAGGGGGGGAAATTAGATGACTCTTCCACCTTGGCCATTTAAGGGCAAAGTGACAGGTAGGGTTCAAGTAGGAGAGAGGGGTGAAAATTAGATGACTCTTCCACCTTGGCCATTTAGGGCAAAGTGACAGGTAGGGTTCAAGTGGGTGAGAGGGGTGAAAATTAGATGACTCTTCCACCTTGGCCATTTAGGGCAAAGTCACAGGTAGGGTTCAAGTGGGTGAGAGGAGGGAAAATTAAATGACTCTTCCACATTGGCCATTTAGGGCAAAGTCACAGGTAGGGTTCAAGTGGGTGAGAGGAGGGAAAATGAGATGACTCTTCCACCTTGGCCATTTAGGGCAAAGTCACAAGTAGGGTTCAAGTTGGTGAGAGGGGTGAAAATGAGATGACTCTTCCACCTTGGGCATTTAGGGCAAAGTGACAAGTAGGGTTCAAGTGGGTGAGAGGAGGGAAAATGAGATGACTCTTCCACCTTGGCCATTTAGGGCAAAGTCACAGGTAGGGTTCAAGTGGGTGAGAGGGGGGAAAATGAGATGACTCTTCCACCTTGGCCATTTAGGGCAGGTAGGGTTCAAGTGGGTGAGAGGGGGGAAAATGAGATGACTCTTCCACCTTGGCCAGTTAGGGCAAAGTCACAGGTAGGGTTCAAGTGGGTGAGAGGAGGGAAAATTAGATGACTCTTCCACCTTGGCTGTTTAGGGCAAAGTGACAGGTAGGGTTCAAGTGGGTGAGAGGAGGGAAAATGAGATGACTCTTCCACCTTGGCTGTTTAGGGCAAAGTGACAGGTAGGGTTCAAGTGGGTGAGAGGAGGGAAAATGAGATGACTCTTCCACCTTGACCATTTAGGGCAAAGTGACAGGTAGGGTTCAAGTGGGTGAGAGGAGGGAAAATGAGATGACTCTTCCACCTTGACCATTTAGGGCAAAGTAACAGGTAGGGTTCAAGTGGGTGAGAGGAGGGAAAATGAGATGACTCTTCCACCTTGGCCATTTAGGGCAAAGTGACAGGGTCTCCCTAAAAGACCAAGCCTATTCTGATACTTTTTGTTTACATGCAAAAATCAGTATTTTTTTGCTAGAAAGTTGCTTTGAACCCCCAAATTATATATATATATATATATATATATATAATATATATATATATATATATATATATAGGTATTTAGGGACCTCATCCACATCTGGCCAGGTACACTGAAGGATGTATGGATATAAATCGTCAGAGGTAAATGCCCAATTAGACCACATGAACCTTTACAGGTACTGTCACTGGGAAAACCGATAAAACATGTATATCAGTATATATATCCTTAAGCTGACAGAGAATGGAAGAAAGTACATAAATACTAATTCCCAAAGAAAAAACAGGGAAATGGGAAAGCTTTCTGGTAGGTACCAAAAATCTGCATATTGCTCACCATGAAAAAAGGGGGGAATCGCTATGAAGAGTCTGCACTAGCCCACAGAAGCAGAGAGTATTCAGATGTAAAAAACAGACCTCAATTATATAGGGACCTCGTTAAGAGGTCCATCCAATCCTCTGGCCGTGACTAACAGCCTCCAAGGAGACAGACTGAGGGACAAAAATGGTGTCCAAACACCAAACCTATGCTGCCTCCATAGTGAGTGACACTGGGAACCACCCCCTGGAACACCGGTGCGCAGCGTCACCACCCCACATCATGCGGAGTGACGTCACGCATCGGCCAACCGCCAACATGCTGAGAGAGAGCACGGGTGCCGGGTACAGGAGGAGCGGCAAAAGCCAGAACCCCAGCTGCACTCACCAGTCCACAATGCCCGGTGGTGCAGCCTCAGTGTGCCGATCGCTGAGATAGAGGGAACAGGCACCTGAGTTCAACTCCCACCCAACCCCCCGACCGAGGAGGCAGCCAAGACAGAGCCATCCACATCATCAATTCTATAGTATGCACACCATATATATAGAAACTATATAAAAACATACAAAAATAATATACAAAAATACAAAAGGCACAAATTCAGAAAATAACGAGCCAGAAAGATCTCAAACATGGGTACAAAATAATGAAAGGTATACATTACACATGTAAGGCATTAATGCAGCACTATATTGAATATAAGGTGAAATGTTAAACACAGTAGTATACATGGGCAAGACATATAGTAAAAGGAGGCATATAGTGGAACTTATTTTTCCATACCACCAGAGACAAAACCTTGTAACAAAGGCCTGAAATTGAATTCAGGCCAGGGGGGGAAGTAGCTTGTAGATGGAAAATCCATCTAAGCTCCAACAACAGCTTATTCCAGTCACCCCCTCTACAACCTGGGTGTACTCGGTCGAGAATAAGAAATTGAATTTTGGGAAATTGACCATTATGTACTATAACGGCATGGCGTCCCAAAGCTAATTTGGGATCACCCGTCTGCATGCTTTTATTGTGTCTATATGCTCGCCTCTAAAATTCCAACTTTGTCTTGCCCACGTAAAAACAGCCACATTCACAGAGAAGTAGATCTATCACTCCCGTAGTTGGACAATTGGCAAAATGTCTGGGTTTGAACAGAACCCCATTTGGTAGTCTAGGTTGTACTTCTGTATACATATACCTACAATAGTTGCAAGCTCCACAACAGAAAGTACCTTTTAGTTTGCATGGATCTCTAAGGGAGTCACCCTTGTATTCACTTTGTATAATACGATCTTTTACAGATGTGGCCCTTCTAAAGGTGATTAAGGGGGTGGGAGGTACGAATTTGCCTATCAGAGGATCTTTAGTTAATAGATGCCAATACTTTTGGATGATATTTCTAATTTGGTTGTGTTGGTTAGAGAATTTCATGATAATCTTGGTTTGACCATCTGGTGCTTTCTTTTTAGGATCCTTGTAGAGAAGATCATTTCTCAGATTACTACAGGCACGTTTATAAGCTTTCTTTAAGCAAGACTTGGTGTATCCTCTCTCCAACAGTCTATTTCGGAGTGCATCTACCTCTTCCTTGAATGCTTGCTAGTCGGAGCAATTCCTCCTTGTTCTCAAATACTGACTATAGGGAATGGATGAGATCAGTGCCTTAGGGTGAAAACTGTTGGACAGAATACCTAGAGAGGCATCAATGCCACATGTAAAAGCAATCCAGTGGCTAGTTAGCTGCTAGGATTGCTTTTACTTGAAAAGAGAATTGCCTGCTCAAATAAACAATACCAGGATGATGCCTATAGCTACAGGCATCATCCCAATATAATCACTAAGACCAGATGACATACGTTACAATTGGGCTTAACAAGCTATTTTTTTTTCACATGATAGAGGAGTGATATCACCACTGCCCGTTAGCTCTGAACCAGCCACCACCAGGTATTGTGAATGGCTGAAACACAGGAGGGAGTGGTAGGCGGAGCACTTACCACACATTACATATGCCTCCTGCTGAATAATTTCTGGAAATACCCTTTAATGGGCCAAGCTGTAACCTAGGTGTACTGATTCAATATACAGTATGTGAACCACTCTCCAGATTATTGAGTTCAGATGTTTCCAGCAAAGGGTACTGTTAATGCTACAGCATATAAAGACATATAAGATGGTTGTGCACTTCCTACCATGTGGTTTAGAAAAGGCCCTTTTCTATTTTGGCATGACTGCTACCCTGTGAACAAAGCCAGTTTTATGAAGACCTGGTTTGACCATTTTGGTATGGCCTGCACAGATTCCTGACCTCAACCTTACAACATCTTTGAAATTAATTAGAATGCCAGTTGCAAGCCAGAAGAGTGTGGGCTATTGTAGCCTCAAATGGTGGGATGGGGCAATTCATAATAATACCTATGGTTCTGGAATGGGAAGTCCAACAAGTTCATATAGATGTGATCAATAGGGGTCCACAAATGTTGGCCATATAGTGTAAGAGCTACATAAAAAATGCTGTAAAAACAATAGTACTGGTAAGTGTGGTCATGTTAAACAACCTGTGACCATACATATCATAAAATCGGTTACAACATTCTATGCTTAGTAGTCTCTATGACTTTTTTTGCAGATAATACAGCCAGTATCAAAGTAAAGAATGGAGAGTTTAATCGCAATGAGGCCAAGTTTTATTACCTTCCAATTATAATTACTGACAATGGCATCCCACCACAGAGCAGCACCAACACATTGACTATCACTATCTGCAAGTGTAATGAGAAAGGGGAATTCATCTCTTGCGAGGAGGCTGGAAAACTTGCCGCGGTGTCTGTCTCCACCATTATCATTGTTCTGATTGCCATATTGCTAATACTTCTAGGTAAGTGGATTCAGTTCTGGTGGCTTAAAGAGATATTTGCAGTAACATTATTTCTGTTTGAGAGATTGCATAAAGCCCATCTACAAAGAGAGAAGTTTGCCTTTGGACCTTTACTCTTCGATGAGGATGTTCCATGTATAGTATGTACAGTGACCACATTCCCTCTTGCCATGACACCAGTAGTAAAAAGATAAGCAAACCTTGCATGAAAAATCCACTTACAGCCTCCCCCTTAATAACATGCCAATTCAAATCAATAAAACAGTAAAAGACTAGATGAAAATGTAAACAATACTCACTTTACACCCAAGCTGCCAGCCACTTCTAGTAGGTATTGGTAATGTAAATGGGCCTCACCATGGGCAACATGAGAAGGTGTAAGGTGAGAGGGGTTTTTTTTATTTTTATTTCAATTTTTTTGTGACACCTTTCACTGAGCATTTTAAGTAAGGAGTTGATGCTCCCAGATAAGGGGTCCTTTGATTTTAAAATAAGGTCCACTTTAATCGGCACCATAACCCTGCAGTGCCACACCTAAATCTTGCAGTGCTAAGATCTTGGTACCTATATGAAATAATTCACTTGCAAGGGGTTATGTTATTTAACAATATATCATTTTGCACCAAAAATGCTATTTTTACTAGATGCGCAACTGTTCTAAGATCCACTAGAGCCAAATATTATTATATTATTATTATTATCCCTGAAGAAAAGTTTACATCTTTACTGTTATCTTATCCTTCCAATAGCAGTGATCCTGGCAGTGCTGTTTGTAAGAAGAATGCAGAGCAAGAGCCCCTTCATTTTGGGAAAGAACCCTGCAGAGATACACGAGCAGTTGGTCACCTACGATGAGGAAGGTGGTGGAGAGATGGACACCAACAGCTACGATGTCTCTGTACTCAACTCAGTACGAAGAAATGTGGTGATGCCTAAGTATGAGATGGATCCTGGTCCCACCTTATATGCTCACATCCAGAAACCAACCAGAACTGGCGATATGTTCTCAATGATCGAGGTAAAGAAGGATGAAGCAGACAACGATGGTGAAGAGCTACCGTATGACACTCTCCATATATTTGGCTATGAAGGGTCAGAATCCATTGTAGAGTCTCTCAGCTCTCTAGAGTCTGGATCTTCAGATTCTGAAATTGACTATGACGTATTAAATGAATGGGGTCCCAGATTTAAGATGCTGGCTGATCTGTATGGGCTGGAACACCTAGATGAGTTTCCTTATTAACACAACTTAATTTGCAACCCTATTGGCTGATTGAATGCAACAGAGAGCCATTACCCAATCACAATCTATTTTTCTTAGATCCAGCTGCAATAAACAGAGATCTGATTGGTGCCTGTGGGTTTGCACAAATAACCCAGCTCTTCATAGTTCCTTCTTAAATAAGACAATAAAAAGGATTTAGAATTTCCAGAATTTCCACCTGATATTCTGTACCGGTCCCAGTTTTATAAAGATATTTTAAGGCTCCATGCACTTTAGTGTTTTTTAGCTGAAAAACACTGGATAAAAAACACTGGTAATAGCATTTTTAGTAGTGTTTCAGTAGCGTTCAGAAGAGTTTAGGAACGTTAGTATTTTCTTAGCATTTTCACCGTACACCTAGAGGGAAAAGAAAAAAAAGCTAAAATAAAGCTGCTGGGAGCATTTAGCAGAGTTTAGGAGCGTTTAGCATTTTTTCCTGTAGGAAAAGGATCCAAAAAACTCTACAAAAACAATTTTTTCCTGCTCCTAGATGCTGAATCCCAAAAAATGCTAATAGCCTAAAGTAGTGTGCATGGACACATTGGATAATACTATTTCGCTTTTAGGAGCAGAAAAAAATATGCTGATAGGAGCTAGGAGCTTAAAAAAAACACTAGTGTGCATGGAGCCTAAATATTATTACCACCATTATTACCATATTATTACCATTATGTGTAGCATAAATTAATTGACAGAAAGTAATATTTCTTGAACTCTAGACCTAAACTACCTAAATTAGATCTAAACCCAAACATTAAATTCTTATGTAAGCTTTAACATTTTAGGGTCTTCAACCAGTGGTGGACTGACCATTTGGAAACTCGGGCACTGCCCGAGGCCCGGGGTCAGTAGGGGGCCCCATGAGATGCCCCTGGTACCTTTTTCATAGGCTTTTTTGAGTTTGGGCAAGGACACAGGGGCCCCATGATCCCATATTGCCCGGGGGCCCCATGAGTTGTCAGTCCGCCCCTGATTTCAACTGCCATCTTCTGTCTTTTTAAATCTGCAACTTTCAATAAAATAATACCTGGTGATTCTGCCATGAAGGTCCATGTTTGGACATTTCCTGTTATAGGGTGACAGTTGTCTCTGGACTTTCTTTTTGCAGCCTAAAACAAATATGTCTACGCAAGGCTATGCAATTGACCAAACTGGAAGCTTCTAAAATCTGGAAGCCTAAAAGAGGTCCTGACAACCAAGATCTTTCCCAATGCTGACTTCCTGCTACTAATACTAAAGTCAGCCCCCTGCTCAGCCTTAAATGGCTGCTTACATGAACCGTTATAATGTAAATACAATGCCTACTATCTAAGTTGAGACAAGAGGACTTTTCCAGTTTTATTTGCAAACTTCATTAGAAGTTGTATCTTGGAACAAAGACTGTGAAATGTGGAACGAGGGTCACTAGCCATTGAGGGAAGGGGCTGGTGTTTAAATGCTCAACCACATTTGTTACCTACATTTAAAACTATGTGTAATAAAATATAATCCAGTCTGTATAATCATCTATGTATACAGTATGTGCACTATTTATACATAATCTATGAGAAAAAAATACAACATAGTGCCGTGATATGCACCAAAGACTTCAACTAAAGGAGAACGCTAAGAAAATATATAAAATTCCATATTCTACGGCTAGGTGAAAAATGAAAGTTTCATCAACTTTTGGGCAGGTATCAGACAAGGACGCCTGTCTTAGATACTCGCCCAACCACAAAATTGCTTGATGATAAAATTACCCTTAGCTGAGTGGGATTGATTGTTAAACTTCAGTACAGCTCAACATAAAAAAAAAAAAAAGAAAAAATGTTAGCCGATTATTATGTACATTAACTTCCATGATGTCAAAAGTTAACAGTGAAATTTAACTGCATTGCCTGAGTTATTGGTTCAGGACACAAAGTGGTCTCCACTGCTATGCCTGAGCAATTGGTACACTTTAATAATCTGTAGCATCTAACTTGTCTAGAGTTTTCACCCCTATGGTAGTTGTCTCCTACTTTTACAACGCTTGGTCCAATTTAGTAACAACACAAAGGGTAATGATGTTTTGCAAGGACAGCGGTTGAAGTTGAAGTGTTTTTTAGATTCTCCAGCATGTTGAAAATATCCTCAAACTGCTGAAAAACATTGCATTTTATCTCCTGATCCTTCTACTATAAAAATGAGGAGTCAGTAAAACTAGCCATAGACAGGTAGAGGTCTCCATGAATACAGCAAGAATGAAATCCACAGAAGATCAGCTGGCTATTTATCTGGTGGACAAAAGTTGCACATGCTTTTAATATAGCCACGTTACAATCTTATTGTACAAATTCCTTTTTAATTTAAAGTGAACCTGTCACCAGTTGATAAAAAAGAGGTAATATAACTTACCTTTCCAGAGGCCCATGTGTCAAAAAGATGCCTGTTCTCTGCTCCCCAGCCAATGCAAGTCTTGGACTGATGGCTTCAGTTGAATATTTATTCCCTCGTTCGCACACTGTGGTTCCCCCCATCGATCCATACATCCTGTTGAGAGGGAGAAAGTATTCTACACTACCACAAGTGTAGAATACATGCAGCTGCTGGAGTGCCTGTATGTGGTGTGAGCATGCCATCCATGTCATCAAAAATAGGGAAAGTGAAGCAAAAATCTATATTTACAAACATAATTTGTATATGTGCTTCCATACATTAATGGGTCATTAAAGGCTCTTTTCACCCAAAATTGGTAATTCAGTATTTGGTAGATACTGAAAAATTAAAACCACCAGACATGTTCTTGACATATCTCTTGAAGACAGACTTGGTGAGATCTCTGTGTTTGAGGTCCAGGATCTGCATACTTGCTGTGACCAGTATGAGCGGTTCCCACTCTGCATGCTATAACTTGTATTTATTTTTTATTAGAAAGAACATAGGGTGGTGCCAAAACAAAGAAAGGAAGGTAGGAACAACCAAAACTTCCAGGTCGACAGGAACAGATGTGGAGATATGGCACCTAGATCTAGATGTTAGTCTATCCAAGATATGTAAACCATTGCCCTTCAGGCTCTGCACATCTGCTGTGGCCTTATATGAGGGGTTCCCACTCTCCCTGCTGGAAATTTAATTTATTTTGTATTACAGAAAATGTAAGGAGAAGCAAAACATAGAAAGGTTGGCAGGAACAACCAAAACTCCAAGTGGAATGGGACAGATTTTGAATTATATTAGGTAAACCTAGATGAACCCAACCCTTTCACCCCTCACAGGCCAGCTTGTATCCTCCTCAATTCCTTGCAATCAGCCAGTTGCCAAGACCCTGGAGTCCACTCTTGCTCCATTGTGTAATCCACAAACACTGAAGGCATTCAACTCCAGCCAGGGCTGCTGTTAGAAGCCATGGGACCCCATACAGCCAACCTGACAGCCCCCCCCTAAAAAAAAAACAGTTTACTATGCTTCAGTTATCAATGAACACAGTGAGTGATAAGTAAAGATCACTCATTGTGTTCATTCAGCAAAGGGCCTAGTAAATCTGACAAATTTACTGGACTTTCCTCCACTCTCCATCTTGATAGATCCTATTGTGTGCTTGCAGCTGCCAGTGGGAAAAAGAGGAGGGAAGCTGGCAGCACTGCAAGGATGGGGGCACATGGGGGGCCTTGGCAGCAAGGGAAGCAAATGGTGCACAGGGAGGGTGATGGGTGCGGTGGGGGAATTACTGGAACCAATCACCTGTATGGCTCCGTCTGCAGCAGCTGAAACCAAAGGGAGAGAGAGAAGAAACCGGCTTTCAGGTGCTGCAGAGGGAGCCATACAGAGGATTGGTTCCAGTAACTACTCACCCCTTCCATGCCCGCATATGATTCACCCATCTGCCTGGGCCCCCCTGCTGGCCTGGGCCCCGTACAGGAGGACTGGTGGTACCCCCTTGTCCACGGCTCTGACTCCAGCCAAGCTTTATTGCAGTGACAGCACACCACTCACTCCCACCCAAAGTCATGCTCAACATCAGGTCATGGGGATCCTTACCCTAACCCTAATCATGGGGATGTTGAGGGCATGGCTTTGGGTGGAAGTGATTGGTGTGCTGTCATTGCAATAAACCTTGTCTAGAGTTGAACATCTTTGATGCAGACCGTTATTTGGATGGAGGTAGACCTAGATGTTGGAGTGTCCAAGACTAATGGATCATTGCCTTTTGCTCTGCTTTTAAAAGACAACATACTATATATACTCACCTTTTTTCCTCAGGGACACTTACATGAATACTTGAATATAACTACTGATTATTCAGATTCCCCTGGCCCTGACAATTGCAAGAATATTGACATCTGCTATTTAATTCATTCATAAGCCTATCATAGAAAGACGTTATCTTGCACTTTCCTAAAAACTGTGTTATTCTCTTTATTAATACTTTCTTTCCAACAAATTAGCCAGCAGGATTATATCACACTATATTAATTACCTACACTTGTGGTAGACTAACAACGATTATGTTTTTTGTTTTAATTATAATTTTATTTCTAGTGTCAGTATTTTCTGTATGTGTTTTGTATTACAGCATTTTCTAAAAGTACTATATATTTGAACAGGAAGATGATATCCGTTTTGCCATTTTCATGTTTTTATATTAAAATAATAAAATACTTTACACCAACTGAATTGAGGATATTTTTTTCAACATTCCGATAGGATTTCTTCTGCTTTCAAAGAGAGAACTTAGACCTCTCAAAGTCCAGCTTCAGCCACTCACTGTTTTCGAGTGAGGGCTGTTTTGCACAAGTGGCCCCTGAAAACTTTAGAAAAGCAATGGGTTTGCAAGGATATTGCAGCCCAGTGAAGTCACTCTACGCTCCATGGCTGTTATCCCCATTTTATCTTTAGGTCTTAGTGACTTGGAAGCAGCATGCAGTAGGTGAAGTCTTAAACACCCAAACCACTCCAGTCTTGCATAGTTGTTGCAAGGTACTGAATTGCTAGGTAGTAGTAGATGTAAGTTCCTT